AACAACGTCGGGCACTGAGACCACTAGCGCCGCCACCGGCACTGCGCCGTGACCTACGAGTCATGCTGCCAGTGGTCAGGTAAGGATCAGCAACGCCACTGGCCAGGTTTCCTGCCGGGGTACTCCTCGAGATAGGCAGGTTGGCAGGACTGGTATACTCCTCGGCATCTAAAGCCGCGATGAAGTTTTAGAAAACCAGCTTATATTTATGCATATTAATATGCGTAAAGATTCGAGGGCCAGGCATTTTATCTCGCGTTCATAATGCCCGACAAAAAAGGAGAAAAAAGGTTCGAGTTCGTGAACCGAATTGTATTTGTACTGATGCTTCGGAAGCTTTTCGCCTCCATCATTAGAGTGTTTTAGTTGCTGTGTTTGGTGGTCTTGAGTAAGTCCGCCGTGCCGCCTTCCTCGTATTATAGCCGTGCTGGACGCATAAACTCTGACCTGTGCGTTTGCTGCTGACTACATTTGATCTCCCGAAGGTTTCTCGCTGCGAAGGATTGTCTGACGTTTGTCCCCTTTGTGGTCGGCGTAGCTGTAGGCCAGTCGACGTGTCTATTGGCCTCCCCTACATCAACCGGCGGACAGATTATTCGTTGCTGTTGGCCTAAATTGTTCTCTGCTGCACAAGCGCTTCGGTGAGGCAGTGTTGGATATAAGTCACGTGACCCCCGGCCGCCGCCTTTATTTTCCGCGAGTGTCGGTTCTCGGTTATGCCTGATAATTTGGTCTACTTGCTCTGTTCGGGTCAATTTAGACAGGGCCAGTAATTAGTAAACCGAAGTATGCCTTCTTTTGGAGAACCGTTTTCAATTTATCGCAGTATTCTATTCGTGGCTTCGGGAAGGGCGGTGTAGGCAGTACAAGAGTTTTGTGCAAACTTCGTGACCTTCATCTATTAGGTTAAGAACAGTAAATGCGTTAGGAAGATGTGCAATTCCTTGGAAAATATAAATATTAGTGCTTACAGTTTTGAGAATGGTCCTAGCTGGTCGTTAGATTATGGGTGATGTAGAAGATGCGATCACTGGAAGAGGAAGTTTATTTGCTTGACGTCTCGGATTCTGGCTCGAACCCGTCATCAGAGCTGACCACAGTTATCTGATTATGGGTTCAAGTCAGAATTCGTTACGTCAGGCAAATAAACTTCTTGTTCCAGCGATTGCATCGTCTAGTCAAGTCAAGTCAACTTTATTAAAGGAAATATAGTTGAACGCCATTGAAATCCCTATTAGTACATAGTATTTAAGAAATACATCGGCACAGCCGAACATTTCAAATAAGTCCTTTACCTGATTGTAGGCGACTACTTGCTTGTTTCAAGTAATACACTCACATGTGGGGATGTCAGTTAAC